ACTCTGCTTGCGAACTTACATGAACGTCTTTTTCCTAGATCTTCTGAGAGCTTACTGAGAATGTTGCAGGTAAATCTCGAAAATTCACATGATAGCTCAGCTTATAGTCCGATTTTTTATAGGCACAGCTTGGAGATTTCCATAAAATTGTATCTGAGCTGTTCCTAGCCTCTTCAGACCCTAAAGATTGTTCCATAGTGGTGCGCGCCTTGGACAGATATTTTAGAAAAATGTCCACTTGCAAGCAAGTCATTCAAGGTGGGCATGCCGTATCATCTATCCATTTTTCGTTTCATCCCTTGCTAATCATATGATTAGTATTACTTCTCTTACAATAATTTTTTTAAGGTTTGGATTGTTCTACGTGTACGATATCGCTCATCCGAGAAGTATCAAATCATGAAGTGCTTATATCACGAAAGTACATCTTGGAAGAAATGAAAATCGTCATGCAAGAGGTCAGAACGTGGCCGTTTTGTAATGATACCATCGTTCGTTCGTTCAGATCCGGCAATCTCTTTTGTCGAATGATGTTGACTTGACCGCTCTGGCAGGAAAACTCGAACAATCTTTTGTGTTCCAAGTGAAGGTAAAGATAGAAACTATGCATTATCTTGTACTTTGATGTTTGCATTGCTACTTTTTCCTTTGAATGCTTTCGCATTCTTCGTTTTTTTCTGATTTTATTGGCTGCATATTTCCAGACTGCTTTGGCCAATCTTCTTCTTTTCATTGCAAGCGATGTCACGTTTTCCACCTTACCTCCTGCCGAGTTTCAAGCTGAATTTGCGCACAACGTGCATGAAGAGATTGTGATAGGGGCATTCAAAGACGTCATCGCTGTGGCGGAAACTTATGGTAGTACTGCTTTTTTGATGGATTTGTCTAATTTACTTCCATTGTAGGTCTATCGGAAGGTGAAGCTCGTTACGCAAATCCATTAATGATGTTATTGCTGGCATTCACACTTCATCATTTGGCAAATAAATCGTCGCAGTATCTACTCAGCCTTTGTAGGGAACAATTCTCGCTCACCACTTCGAAGA